CAACAAATTTAAGCAGCTGTCAGACATATTATTGTTATTGTTAATTGTTCAAGCAAGCAAATGAATTAATTATGAAAAAACAATTATAATATGAAAGTCAATGGTTACAGGATTTCAGCATTCTTCTAAATATCTTCTTTTTTGTTATATATATATATATATATATAGTTACACTAAAGTAGGTATTTTGAGGAAAACTGAAAACCTGTAACCATTGATTTCCATAGCAGGAAAAACAAATACCATGGAAGTCAATTGTTATAGGTTTTCAGCATTCTTTTAAATTGGTTTTTTTGTGTTTATAATCTTTAACACTAAAGGGGGTGTTTAAAAAAAACTGTAACCATTGACTTCCATAATAAGTAAAACAAATACTATGGAAGTCAATGGTTACAGGTTTTCAGCATTTTTCTAAATAGCTTTTCTTTGTGTTTATATTCTTTTACACTACAGTAGGTACTTTAAAGAAAACTAGAACACCTGTAACCATTGATTCCCATAGTAGGAAAAACAAATGCTATGTAAGTAAATAGTTACAGGTTTTCAGCATTCTTCAAAATATCTTCCTTTTGAGTTTATGATCTTTACCACTAAAGAAGGTATTTTGGAAAAATAAATGGACCATTGATATCCATAGTAGTAAAAGCATATAATATATAATGAAAGTAAATGGTTACAGGTTTTCAGCATTCTTCAAAATTTCTTCTTTTTTGTTTTATATATATTATGTTACACTAAAGAATGTATTTTGAGGAAAACTGAAAACCTGTAACCATTGATTTCCATAACAGGAAAAACAAATACCATGGAAGTCAATTGTTATAGGTTTTCAGCATTCTTTTAAATATGTTCTTTTGTGTTTATAATCTTTAACACTAAAGGGGGTGTTTTAAAATAAAAAAATAAAAAACCTGTAACCATCGACTTTCATAACAAGTAAAACAAATACTATGAAAGTCAATGGTTACAGGTTTTTAAGGTTTCTTCTAAATATCTTCTATTTTTGTTTATATTCTTTTACACTACAGTAGGTACTTTAAAGGAAACTAGAAAACCTGTAACCATTGATTCCCATAGTAGGAAAAACAAATGCTATGTAAGTAAATAGCTACAGGTTTTCAGCAGTCTTCAAAATATCTTCTTTTGTTTTCCACAGATTAAAGAAACTCATAAATGTCTGAAACAAGTAAAAGGGTAAGCCAAAATGTTTGTTTGTACTACCCCTTTAACTAATGGCACCTTATTCTAAACTGTTCCCATTAAAACTATAGAAAAGCCTAACATAAATATGCATTTTAAACAATCCCCAAGCAGAAAAAACAACTCGAAGCAGCTGTCAGACGTGTTATTGTTACACAACCAACAAAAAAAGTTACAATCCAACAAACAAACTCCTAATGAGCACCAAAAATAAATAAAGTAAATAAGAAAACAGATGCATGTTTTTTAAATGCGTCCTGCGTTCTATTTACTGATGTACTAATGAATGGGTTAACGCATTCTGTTTTCTGTGAGGATCGAATCTCTGGCTCGGGATGCATCACTCATAATGCATCTGTGACAGGATCTGAAATCAATCTGCGAGAGACAGACAGACAGACAGACAGACAGACTGCTCTGATGTGTCTATCTCTGGAAACCCGTGCCAGGCAGGCTAATGAGAGCGAAAGCACACGTGGAGCGTCAGAGAAAACAATCACAATCTGAGCGGCGCGGCGAGACGGAGAGAGCTAAAAAGAGATGGTGCAAATTAGAACGGATAAACACACCAGGGCACCCAATCTGGAAATCACATGATGCCAGAGATGCTCTGCTGCTAAATATTTGCATGCAGCATGCCAATACACGGAAGCAGGATTCACGCAGAGCCGGACGGAATCTGGACGACATGATCAGAATGAACATGATGGAGTTAGAGAGTGATGGAGAGAGAGAGGATTAATCAACCAAACTCATTTGCCTTATTTTAAATATTCTACACTGTTTACATTTGTTTGTTTGGATATTTACTCTGTTTTGACTATATTTTGTTTAATATTATAATACATTTTCGTTTTACTACTTTTATTTATGTTAAATATATACACTACCTGACAAAAGTGTTGACTACTATCCAAGTTTCAGGAACTTCAGGTTGATCATTTGGTATCAGAAGCGGCTTATATGAAATGCAAAGGCCTCTAGATTACACTTATTTGACCAAAATAAAATATGATCATACCTTGATTTTTAATGATTTCATTAGGACAGTAAGGTCTGACTTTGCTTAGACAAAAGTCTTGTCATTAACAGAAATAAAGTCCAGTATAGAATATAAAGTCCTGCTGCAGTGGAAACAGAATGAATATTGTGTCTGACTCCGTCATGAGCTTGGAGGACTGCATCCATACATCTCTGCAATGACTCAAATCACTGATTAATAAAGTCATCTGGAATGGCAAAGAAAGCGTTCCTGCAGGACTCCCAGAGTTCATCAAGACTCTTTACCTTCATCTCCAATACCTCCTCCATCATCTTACCCCTGACATTATCAATAATGTTCATGTCTGGTGACTGGGCTGGCCAATCCTAGAGCACATTGACCTTCTTTGCTTTCAGGAGCTTTGATGTGGAGGCTGAAGTATGAGAAGGAGCGCTATCCTGCTGGAGAATCTGCCCTCTCCTGTGGTTTGTAATGTAATGGGCAGCACAAATGTCTTGATACCTCAGGCTGTTGATGTTCATCCACTCAGCAGATCTCTCGCACGCCCCCATACTGAATGTAACCCCAAACCATGATTTATCCTTCGCCAAACTTGACTGATTTCTCTGAGAATCCTGGGTCCATGCAGGTTCCAGTAGGTCTTCAGCAGTATTTGTGATGATTGGGATGCAGTTCAACAGATGATTCATCAGAAAAATCGACCTTCTGTCAGTTTTCCAAATGATCAACTAGAAGTCAAGTTATTAATTGTTGCTCTTACAACTGAGATCAACAACAAGGCTTTTGTCAGGTAGTGTGTGTGTGTGTGTGTGTATATACACATATGCGACTTCAGACCGGGATTGGACATTACATCCCGACCAGGACTATATATATATATATATATATATATATATATATATATATAT